TCTTCTCCCAACCCTCCAAATCGCTGCTCTCATAGATCAATGTCTTCTCCCTTAAGGACGTGAGTCGGGCGCCAGATCTGGCGGAACCCACACTATTGGTGGCCACACAGGTGTAGACCCCGGCGTCTCGACTGTCGACGTCTCTGATTGTGAGCGAAACGTAACCAAAATTGAAGAACGGAGTGATTCTAGAGCTGGCGCTCAAGTGTTTGTCGTCTTTAAGCCACTCGACTCTCATCGTTGAGTCTCCCTGTGGTTCGAGAAGCGCCTCAAACACAGCGCTCTTGCCTTCGGTCACATCCATTTGGTCGCCACAGTGTTTCTTAAACACCGGCTTCTGGTGTGGCTCTAACTCTCGGTCAAAGAACTCATGTCTCGTGCGCTTCGTTTGACTCATCTCTTCATAGCTTTGTTCATCACTTCTCTTATGAGCCGTCGTTTGAACTAATTTTAAACAATTTTAATATTTTGGACAAACATTATATTTATTTCTCATTTATTACCAATGATTTTGAGCGATGCGGTCGATACGGCCTCTCCACCAGAATTGGTCACCCGAACCATATATAGGCCGCTATCCGATGGCCGCACTTCTGATATGTTTAGCGATATGTATCCGAAACTAAATACAGTGCTTATTCTCGACCCTTAAATTATAACATAATTATAACAATTAACAAGACTAATGAAATGCCAATAAAATGATTTATCACTTATCATACCCGACATCAATGGCTGTCCGTTTAGGAACCATTCAATTCTTAGGGTCGGGTCGTTGACGGGTGTGATCTGTGCCTCGAAGCGTGCGTTCCCGCCCTCCGACACCTCCTGGAGGGCCAACGGCTTAGCGAATGTGGGTTTCGGTATCTTTGGTCGTCTATCTTCGGTGATGTGCTGTTCTCTCGCGTATATCTCCCAGTCCTCGACGGTCTGTAGTTTCTCAATGCCCTCAACTATTGGCGGACTCTTTGGCTTCGGTTGCGTTGGCTTTGGGTTGCATTTCAACGTCGCTGTCGTCACGGCTTCTCCCGAATCGTTACTTACCTTACATGTTATGATTCCTATCATATATTCAATAAATACATTCAATTAGTTATGTTTTCTTTTATTACTCGAGAATTACTTTTACAGAATTTAACAGAAATTTAGTTTACATACAAGTCATGCAATACTTTAAAATACAGTTATTATTTGGTTATATTTTAGTTTGAATTTGAATTTATTGTTTTTTAAAGGCGTCGCGCACTCAATACGGATTGATATTCTGTGCAAACGTTTATATTATTATATTTATTGATTAAAGTATTTAAAACTTTAATATTTGCAAAAACTTAGTGAACGTATTCTTTGAATTTTTATCTACAATACTGTTCTGTTGGTGACGTTTAGCCGCATTTGACAGTCAAATGTATTTATAAATGTTATGTAAAGATTTCACTTAACATTTCACTATTATTATGCCCTCAATAAATAAATATAACTTTCATTGTATTGCGTTTTAATCTGAATTTCTAGTATTTTCAATTGTATCGATATTTTTAAAATATAATACTTTAAATCAAGATCAAATCTCATATACATTTTTAATTCTCTTAACTTAACCATTCTTTAATAAATAGTACAGTATATATCAAATCTAACAGCTTATATTTTACATTAATAGTTTGACATAGTTCATACAAAATTAAACTAAAGCATTAGAATATAAGAATAAACTTAAATATTAAACTTGTTTAATGACAATACATACAGAATAATAGCATTAATTAATTACCTGAATCCTCGGGATAGACGTGTATAATAGTGAGGGCAAGATAACCAAATCTGAACGTGGTCAATACGCGAGAACTGGATTCAATAAGTGTTCCGTTGAGATACCACTCAACTTGAATGGTGGGGTCCGATAGGGGCGTCATTCTGGCGTCAAAATGAGCTCTTTCTCCTTCAGTCAGCACTAAATCACGTAAATGTGTAGTAAATGCCGGCTTCGGTGGAGCCGGAGGTTGTATTGGCTGTTGAATTGGTTGTTGTATTATCTGTTGCGGCGGCGGTTCGTCGCTCTGACCGCCGGGTCTGGAGATTGTTTGATACGTTCTCTCGACATGTTTTAAATAAATAGTTTCCGAGGGTTCGGGTCTTTCGGGTTCAATAATGCGGTGAGTTTTGGGCACATTTATGACAACCGGTTCGCCGATCGGCACTCTTCTGTCGGACTCGACGTATACCTTGGCTCGGGTGGCGGCGAGACCGGCCTGATTCTGGGCAGTGCACTGATACCAACCCGAGTTTTTGGCCACAATTCGGTGAAATATCAAATCGGATGTGCCTTCGTTTGTCTTAATCTCTACGTCGGGTAAATTGGTGTATATCTGGACGCCGTCCTTCTGCCACGTGATGCGGGGAAGGGGTGCGCCCACCGCTCGGCAGTGCAATGTTATCGGTTCGCCTTCTTTCACGTCCACCGCTTGGAAGCGTTCCACAAATTTCGGGGCAATTGTGTGCTCCTTCTCGACCACCGATAGCGACACTTTGAACGACGCCTCACCCACTCTATTGCTGGCCACACAGGTATAGGTGCCGGCATCGCACGGGTACACAGCCATTATCATCAGCGCGTGAACGCCTCCCTCGTTGACCACCACTTTAAACCTGTCGGTGTCGAGTATGAGCTTTCCGTCGCGAAACCAATTGACCTCCGGTTCCGGTCGTCCGCCGACCCGACAGTCAAAGCGGACTAACTTTCCCTCCACTGACTCCTGATTGAACGGCGTTTGGAAGAAACTCGGCTTAATTCCGATGTTTGTCACTAACTCGGCGTTCATGTCGTAATCGTAGTATTCAATCACATCCCTGTTAGCAATGAATTACACGATTAACCATATGATCACTTTTTTAAAGAGATGGTAATAATCCAAACCGGGATGAGTCGAGTGCGTCCATACGGGACGCCAAATCCCTGTCCCATTGGGACGACATCTCAATGAGTGAACTCGCGATGAATTGATATCATATGTTGAGCTAAATTATCGATGAATCGTTTGGTGACTCTTTATTAATCCGAGGTATGAATTGTGAAAATAGACATTTTTCTTAACTACAAAGTAAAATAATAATTAATAACAAAGTATTTCTTACCGTATTATTGAATATTTAAGCGTAGAATTGTTGAAAGTGTCGCAAATGGGCGCTCAATTGGCCCTAATATTATTGACTCAAATATACGGTTGTATTCCTATATTCTATATCCCATACTCTTCTGGCACTGGTATTCCTGTGCCAAGAATTTCTAGTGCGACCCATATATGGTTTGTAGGCTTTTTTAAGAACTGCTTATTCGCCTGTAAACAGTAGTGTCACTACACATACACATTGTCTTTGGCTGATGTGATCCATGGATTACTATTGATCATATGCTTAACACTTCCGATTTTATTGTTATGTGTTTTACTGTTACATTGGTTGTTGCCATCAGTCAATGTTATACAGTAATTAAAAATGGGTTAATTTCATCCCAATTTGATTCCTAATGTTTTGTGTGATTCCTAGTGTAGTGTTAATGTAAAGTATGCTTTAATTGTGCAAACATTTATTTTTAAATTTCAATATTCGTATGCATTTCATTGTTTTTTTGTGGAGAAGTTGCAAAATTTATTATTAAATCTACTGATCTGTCATTTTTAATGCATATTTTTAGCATGTATTTTGTATAAATGTTAAACATTTTGTGAAATCTTGTCCAACGGTTTTACATAACAAGCATTTTTGTAAACAACATAATCGGCTCAAATAGAGAGTGAAATCTCAAGAATAATAAATTATTATTGAAATCTCGGGACAATATTAAACACATTATCATTTAAATGTTGTTTTGACATTGAATTGAGAAAATTCTTGTCTCGCTTTTGATTTTAAAGTTATATCAAATACTGAATACTGTATTCAGTGAATACATCATATCATTGCACACAACGTATAGGAAGTGCATAAGAAATAATTGCTAAAAATAGATATCTATTTTTAAATGCGAGAAATTAATTGTTGTTCAAAAGTAAATAAAAACTTAATTTTAGAGTTCAGATATATCATTATTTCATAAACTTGTATTTATATAAAATTGATAATGATAATTTAATAGTTAATAACTACTGTATGATTATTTTGATAAATATATTTATATTTAATACAAAGTATTATAAAATCTTATTTAATAAAATATTTATCTCTACTTCGCTTTAAGCAAACGATTGTATAAGAGTTTATCAAAATCTTTTTGAGATATAATTGGAAATTACAATATAATGTGTGAAACAAATTGAGGGAAAAACGAAATCAAATATAAATTTAGAAATGGTTTGAACACTACTAGAGATCAGTCAAAATAGTTCAGAGAACTCCAAATCGCAACCAAAACTAGTTTTCGTTTTACTTTCCATAAAAAAGCTAATCGTTTTGCGAGAGAAGAAAGTTGTGATTCACTATAGAAGAGACCAAAAACTCATTTCACTTATTGTGTTGAATATGTAAAACATTTTCCCATTTCTTCTCCTATTGTTCGCATAGAAAGCTAACTTTGAATTACTTTTATGCCATAAATTATATCCGCATAATAGTTGTGCCATTTTATCAATTATCATTGAAATTGGATTTGACTTAATTTTAGGCTCAAATATATTGGGATTATTATAATAAAAATTAATAAAAACCAATTAAACCATTGTCTGAACTGTTGAACTTTGTTTGCCTTTTATTTCAATGTTCCGAACAAATGCTAGTTTGAAGTCTCAGATCATAATTATATTATACAGAGACAGAGATATTGATCGTCAGTCATGTATTGTTTGCACATTAAAAATATTTAAATCAATTTGCAATACTGAATAAATTTGTTGTTTGTTTTGTAAACTGAAAAACAACAAAACTTTGGGCAAAATTTTTGTGATTGAATAAACATAAGCCATACAAACATTCTTGAAATTTATTCAAAATGTTTTTCCCATTTCATAGAGACGTGAATACAGTATAAGAAGAAGATATTTAAATTATTCTTAATATATATAAATATTTGATAGTAATCTAAATTTTCTTATTTTGAATTCTTTGAATAAAATATACACTAATAATATGTTTGAATTGGTTTTCGGATCGCATTTGTGTTATTAAGCATTCAGTTTATTATTGTCTTAACATTTAAGGAGTAAATTATTTGGAAACGAATTGCTTGACTCTTAAACAGCAAAAGAAATTCACTTTTTAGTCGTAAAACTCGATGAGAGGTTCGGTCATCGAGTTTGGAGCTAAGGCTTGACATTAAAGCAGAAAATAACGTGAAATCCATTGCCATTCGCCTCGAACTGAGAGAGAGAGAGAGAGAGAGAGAGAGAGAGAGAGAGAGCTGAGGAAAGTTAGTGGTAAGAAGTGGTCGTTCCCTTCGCTGTATTCGACCCTTCCTTCGAGTTGTAGCGCCAATTCGTTGCAGTCGTTGTGGCTTTCCTTCCCATCAATTGTTGTTTTGAATTCTTGTGAACCAAAACTTAAGTCAACTTTTTTAACGCCGAAAACTTTATCTCTAGTTTTGTTGAACACAACACGAAACGAAGACAACTCTCACACTCTTATTACATATGTTTTATATAATATTTTTACACTTGATTTCATTTGCGAAGAGTTTTGTTTAAGCATTTAATTGCAGTTTTGTGTTCAAAACGAAGAAATCGCTTCTTTTCCATATATGAGAGCGAGAAATGAAAATTAAGTGAAAAGTCTTAAGTGAAGGCAAGTTTTTGAAACATTTTCATATTTATTTGCACTTATCTTTTCGAAAATATTTAAATCACTTTTTACCTCATTTTCAAAAAGTGTTTTAACATTTTATTTTAATTTTTAATTTTCTTGTGGCATAAATCCAAGTAATTTATGTTATGTTAAAACTTTTTGCGATTAATAAACTTTTATCGCAAATTACAAAACATAATATTGTTATAACGTTTAGCTATTATTAACGCTCTTTCGTCTCGATTTAGTTTTATTTTATTTTTTTAATTAAAAATAAATAATTATATCTTTTATTAGTTATCCGTCTTTTTATAATTTAATAAACATTTTTTAATGAAATATTTCTTTGCATTTCTTTTGTTTTTAACCACAAAAACTAATTTAATTTAGAGGAAAACGCTAAATATATTTCTCTAATAAATTTACACTTGTTTTAAGTTTATTCTTACTTTTTTATAATAATTAACAAAAAAGCAGTGATTTTTATTTCAATTACAAACAATTTATTTAAACACAAGTCCTGAAAATACACGCAAATATCCCTTTAAAACTGATAGTTTTGATAACAAAAATAAATTCCCAGATCTGTGTATAAAACTTCTTGGCGTTCAGAAGAGAAGTGATATTTTATCGCTTTTAAAGCAAATAATTTATTCATAAAATGCAATTAAACTTAATGTTATGCCCTATCAAACAGAAAACTGCTGGTCCTTTCAAAAACGCAACTTTAATACCGCAGAGAAAGGCTGGCATTACTCTAATATTAAGCCCAATAGTTAAGGTGCGGTCATTGAGAGCAATGTTAGTTTTTTATATCTCTCGCAAACTTTTCAAACAATAGATATATACAAAACTCAGAGATCTGTTCGCTAAGACCTAATCGTTTTCAAACACCATTGAAATCGAGAGAAGAAAAAATACTTTCGCCCCGACTTTTAGCACAGAGATGTGTGTTTAAACTATCGGCTCTTGAATTCATGACAAACATAAATACTAATAATATAGTCCAAGGACTGGATGTTTGAAAAAACTATTGAACACCTGTATGTGATTTTGTATGTGAGAGAGTGAGTGAGTGTGTGAGAGGGGGTCTTAGACGCGGATCAAAGAATGCTTTTGTCAGTTAATAATTAGTGGATATTAAAATTGTTTTGATTAATAACGGGCCCATCTATTAGGAGTCCGGCATTTTTGTATAATGGGAAAATTATGATCACTTATATAACTGGTGATCTCTCTCTCTCTCTCTCTCTCTCTCTCTCCATACCCTCCCTCTTTCTTTATGTAAGTATTATACTTATATAGCATAACAATAATAATCATTAACTCTTTTACTATTAACATTGCGAACATTGTATTTATACAAATGGTTGCAAATTATTACATTCAGTGTTTGTAAAGCATATACTTTATAATCGATAAGCGAAAGTAAAGCCGACCGACAATTAAAGCAAAAATAAAGTTGAGAAAAATCCCTCAAACAAACTCTACGATCGGATCAAATGTATAGACAGTTGGCTTATCTGTTGGTTCTGCCACTCAGTAATGATATAATGCATTCTTCGGAGGGTTAATATCCGCATAAATTTATGCCATAAGTCGTTACTTTGTTATATCACTTTCAATCCATTTCATACAAAAAATGCATTTTTTCATATCATTAGAGGGAGAGAGAGAGAGAGAGGGGGAGAGAGAGAGAGAGAGAAGCAAAACGACGTTTATTTTATTATTGTGTGAAAATCCATTTGTCTCTCAAAAATACTTCTAATGAATTCAGATTTTCTCAAGTGATAAAATACATTGATTTATGTGTTTATTGTGTTTAATAGATATCTGTTTCTATCAATCAGTGCTATAAAAGACACGAATGGATAATAATATTCATATTTATGTTTTTTATAGGTATTATATTTTGTACTTTACTTTTTTTATTCCAAACAATTTGGTATATAGTTTGTCAAAATGGGATATGAACTTTTCAAGTTATCACAACTTTGAGTCTCTCATAGAAATACATTACTTCACTTACGTCTGTACTGTTTCTGATAATTCATTTGTCTCTCAAAAATACTTCTAATGAATTCAGATTTTCTCAAGTGATAAAATGCATTGATTTATGTGTTTATTGTGTTTAATAGATATCTGTTTCTATCAATCAGTGCTATAAAAGACACGAATGGATAATAATATTCATATTTATGTTTTTTATAGGTATTATATTTTGTACTTTACTTTATAAGTACTCTATAAGTAGTCGTTGTCTTATAAATACTTAAGGAAACCATTATAATTTATAAATGCTAATTCAAAACAAACAAACATGAATTGCATTCAATTAATACATATTTCTCAACATTTATCACAAAAGTTAGTGTAAATGAATTGAGAATATTTCATAATTCATGGTTTGTAAACCATTGTCAGTGAATTCAATGAAATGTATTTAAAATATAACACAAACAGAAATCACGACTTTTGAAAATATGTGATTATAAAGATAATTAATATTTTGCTTATAGCGAAAAGAATTTTAATATACCATGGTAATTAGTTCACACACATACATAAATACACGCAATGTGTTACAATTCGAGCCTA